CTTCAGATATCTAAAAATTTTATAACTCAGTGTTTTATGTATACATGTAAGCAGTATTTATATATTTTTATGTATCTGTGTAGATGTTTATATGCATGTATGTATGTGTGCCTGGTAGAGATCGCTTTTAGCGATAAGGTCACCCATTGTTTTCTCATTGCGATTATTTCTTGTTATTGTTTGTATTTATAATTAGTTTACTATTGCAATCTTTTGGAGGAAACAATAAAGAGTATCTATCTATCTATCTATCTATAAGTATACTTTATTGGCATTATACAATATAAGAAATAATAAAAATAATAATATTTCTTTATTACAGATAACTAAGATCCATTTTTGTTAGGAACAATTGACTTAAACTATGTTAGTAGAAACAAAAAACAAAACAAATCATTTTATGACCCCTATAATAATTTTGACCCACAATGAGAGGATCGGGCTATCGTATTTATTACATAATGTCGTCAGAATGCTGTTACTGCTGCCACGCAGTTGGTATAAAAGAGACATGATCTGTTTGCGTCTGATGGCATAGAAGTCATCAGTCATCTGTCGACGTTGCTACGAACATTGTATATGCACTACAAAAACGTCGCAATAAGCAAGACTATCAATAAATTAACCGATACACTTGTAGAAGTACGAATTGAATGCGGTTTTTTTTAATTCGGCCAAAATGATGTATTTCTGAAAGTTTAACTTAAAAATTGGTATATGTATCATTTTGATTGGTATATGATTTATTATGTAGTCTATTTTATTAGTTGTTCCACTCCTGAAATCCGTGCGTACGAAGCAGCGAACAAAAAGCAAGTATGACATAATAATATGAAGTATATTCCGACGTAAGGTTTAAATCGATTGTGAAAGAAAACATTTAGGAAAATGTTCAGAACAAATGGGACGATAAGAGTATTTGCTGAGATCGCAATACTGATAAATTGAAAGAAATATGATAAACACATATAGATTTATAGAATACCAGCTATTCCCGCGAATCAGCTTATATGGCCGTAAAAGTATGGAAGGAAAAAGGAATAAAAGAAACTGTGGAGGGAGACTTTGTACAAAAGTCGTTTGCTTGGGCACCTCTGTCCCATTCGTGTTTCAACCGTAAAGCAGTTGTGTTTGCATGGCTGTGTTTCAGTTTGAAGGGTGGGATATGGCGTGAATTTACTGGGTACAGAGGAATAACATCTGAGTCCTCAGGAATGGCAACGCATGGGGGGTATCATTGGTGAAACAGTGTACTCAGTTGTGTCCATGGTACTACTCATGTCTATAGGCAACGGTCACCACTTTCCATCATGTGGGCCATCAACTTGTTTGACATTCTAAATTGTATAAAAAAAATATATGCCACTGAAATTATAAGACACTGAGGCAAAACACTGTCAAGAATAACTCATGAGGGTAGCACTATCGGTATCACAGCGTTATTGTACTCTATGATGTCCTTCATCATCACCATCACCCGTTAACTGTCCACTGATGAACATAGGCTTCCTCTTATTGGGGATTATGGCCTTAGTTGTTACGCATGCAAGGCTTGCAGTTATGCTTTGGTGATGTTTAAAGAGAGACGCTGCTGCCCATCCTTCGACCTCGAAGTTCCTTTAGTCGCCTTTTGTGATACCCAAGAGAAAATAAGAGGTAGTCTACTCTATGCCAGGACCATACGGCGCGGTGATGTTATTGCTGTTTTTTTATGGGTGAAAATGGTATGGTAACCCCGCCTACGCTAACGGGATACGCTGGCGGAGCACCAGTGAAGATAATAAGATAAGATAGATGAGAATGAAAACAGGCCAGTTAGCCCATCATGATGAATTCATCAGGAATTAACCATGATAGTTTCCAGGGAGAACCGCGAGAAGGTCGACCTGGTTGGGTATATTGCATGCAATGGTATTCTCAGTCTCCATTACTAACAATCCCTTTCCCCCCGCTTATTACTGTTGACCTTTATTGTATAAAGTGGTAACCCTTACGGTTTTTACTTTCCATTAGATAGTACGTCAGGTTATTTGACATTATGACATAAAAAAAAAGTTTACAAAAAAATTGCCAGTATTATCATGTATTAAAGTTAAATTGGATAGTAATTTAATTTATATTCCAGGTTATAAATTAAATCGGGGATAAATTAAACATAATATCTTCCTGAATATAATCTATCTTCAAAGAATAATGACCACTTCAAACGCTGTTAGAAAGTATATTAAAATAGCTACTAATATCAACAAAGTGGAAAGACATCAAAGATTTCATTTATTTATATTTCTTCTTTTTTTTTTTAATATTTTTGGTGGTCGTTGACCTTCTCATTTGATGGTTTTATTTTTTTATACAACTTAGAATGACAAACGAGCTGACATGAGCAGTACCATAGACATAACAGATGTATACTGTATGTAGAGTTTAAGTTTAAAAGGAAGATTTATATGTATAAAACATGCATAATATGGTAGAGGAACACTGATAATTTTAGAATTTCTAATGTAATGTCGTAATGTAATGGGGGAGCGGCGGCGCTATTTAGTGTCAGCATTGCACCCGTGCGAAGCCGGGGCGGGTCGCTAGTGTTGTATAAACAGTTGTTCGCTTTTGCTACAACTATAATAAAACTGTTTACTTGTAGGAGTTTTAGCGACTCGATTCAGCGACACCTGCCATTGTTTGCCATTGTCTTGCCATTTTCTGCAATGAAACAGCATTTTTCGCATTAAGTTTAAAAGACTGATAGCCATAGGGACAGCAATTTAAAGCACGAGAGGTGTCATAGGCTTGAAAATTCCTGTAATGTCCATGGTCCACAATTATAGCAGAATTAAGTTAACAGAACGATGAAATAATTTTTGTTCGTTTTATTCGGTTATAAATAAAGAAACGAATAACTTCGATTCTAGCAAATACAGTAATTTTTATTTTAAAACTAATAAAAAAAAATGACTTACCAAATTGTCTAAATCTAAATTTATTTCAATAAAATATTTCTTACTTTTTTTCTTACAAACTTTAATATAAAACAACCTTTAATATTTAATGCACTCCCTTCCATCTTCGGTTCGTTTCTCCTAACCATATAGAAAAGTTGCCGATAAGAAATTCATCACTAGCTATACTCGTAGATACAGAGGTGCCCTTGGCAATCCCCTTAAATTTACTAATTCAAGAACTAGGCCATAATGGTGGCCATCAATTGGGTGCGCTCTTCGTAAATGGCGTATATCTGTTACGGTGGACGCGTGATCTGCTAACAAACGAAGAGGGAATACGGATACTTTGCAGCGGTAAATAAACTTATCCTCTCCCAATATTGTATTACTCAATATAAATCGGAATTATTGCATGACGAATCTGTTTAAAAACAAGCAATTATTTGCAAACCCTTTGGCTTACCCATGGGTTTTATAAGAGGAGACTAAAGGAGAACGAGGGATGGGCAGCGTCCCCCTTGAAACATCTTCAAAGCCTGTGTTTTTTTTTAATGCATGATAATTCTTTTTTTATGCAACTTAGAATGGCAAACAAGCTGACGGACCACCTGATGGTGATAATGGTACCGTAGCCCCGCCTGTGCAATAGGTGCTGGCAGAGCACCAGTGAGAGATGATAAGCAACCCAATTAGCCCGTCGTGATGAATATATCTGGGATTCAGCACGATGGTTTCCAGCGGAGGACCACGTGGAGGTCAACCTGACAAAGTATAGTGCTAGCTATGAGACTGGTAGTCAACATTACTAACAATCCCCCCTTTCCTTATAACTGCGGTTCCTTTTGCCTAGTATAGAACACTTCTTGTATGTGATATTTCTGTATTCTTTCGTAATTCTTTATCATACACGAAAAGGAATTGTATCAGAAAAATAATTAAACGTAATAGTGCACAAGAACGAGCTTATCTCTAAAAGAGATTTCTTCCAGCAAACCTAATATGAGAAAAACTGACAGTTCACAGTCATACATGTGTATCAATCGACTTAAATGTTATAGTTAAAAATATTTTTTTACCACAGGGAGACTTTGTACAAAAGTCGCTTGCTTGGTGTGGAGTACAGGCCACATATATTATTTATAGCTATATATTATTATTTACCAAATTCGAAATTGACACGCGTATCTATTGTTTCCTTTTGGCTTGCCTTCACGGCCCTAGTCTTCTAAGTTCCTTTGACTATTATATACATATTTCCAATTTCCATTCCTGGTTTCCTTTGTCGCCCACATATTTTGGTCCTTCTCGGTTTGAATTCAGCACCAGTTTCCTCATTTATCAAATTTATTATTTTTCTCAAAATTATGATCACAAGATCGAAGGCGGCGATGAGGGAAACCCAGGTCGAAGGTCAACAGTTTCATCTAGGTAGTGTTATAAATAGTGAAAATGTTCGGTCACGACATTCTGCGGAGTCGTATCTTCTCTTCAGTGCGGGAAGCGCTATCAGTTCCGTTACCGCCCGATCCAGATTTTGAGCCGTCGGAATCGTTCTATCATCAGCAAGAGGTTGGCTCATTGAATAATGCAGCGCTTGTATCGCCGTCGAGGGGTACGCTGTCAGGCCAAATCATTTGTCGGTGCCAGTCGTGAAATAAGATCTATGTGGAGAACTATGAATCATACAGAAGTGGCAGAGTATGCGGTATCGCGCGGCATAGAATGGAATTTTATCCCACCGCAGTCGCCTTTCATGGGTGGATGTTGGGAGAGGCTGGTTCAATCGGTCAAGAGAGCGCTGACAGCTACGGTCAAGAGCAAATCATTTAAGGAAGAAATTCTCGTCACTCTTTTGGCCGAGGTAGAACACGTTATAAATTCACGGCCATTAACCCATGTTCCAGTTGCAGCTGATGATGAACCTGCACTTACTCCAAACCATTTTTCTCCTTGGTCGCTCCTCTGGATTGCCTGGACCCGTGTCTTTGAACGATGAGATTTATTAGGAAGATCGCACTGGCGTAAAGCCCTAAGATTAGCAGATCACTTTTGGTCTAGATGGCTCAAAGAATATGTGCCCAGTTTGACACCACGCAGAAGCCAGAACTCTCAGCTACGATATTCCAATCTGTCAGTAGATGACATAGTCTTGATCGCTGATGCAAGTATGCCACGGGGACTTTGGCCTAAAGGCCGTATAACTAAAGTGTTTCCTGGCCATGATGGAATAGTGCGTGTAGCGGACGTAGCGACAATTGGGGGGGTTCTTAGGCGTCCCTCGCGTAAACTTATCAAGCTGAGCACTGTGTAAATAGTTTTTTGATTTAATATTTTTTGATATTTGTCTGTTATGCGTGTATGCCTGTTCTCCACGAACGTTTGTTAGTACCGAGCCTAACGGGGTGGGCAATATGTGGAGTACAGGCCACATATATTATTTATAGCTATATATTATTATTTACCAAATTCGAAATTGACACGCGTATCTATTGTTTCCTTTTGGCTTGCCTTCACGGCCCTAGTCTTCTAAGTTTCCTTCTAAGTACATATTTCCAATTTCCATTCCTGGTTTCCTTTGTCGCCCACACTTGGGTACCTCTGTCCCATTCGTGTTACAACCGTGAAGCAGTTGTGTTGGCATGGCTGTGTTTCGGTTTGAAGGATGGGATATGACGTGAATTTACAGGGTACAGAGGAATAACACCTGAGTCCTCATGAATGGCAACGCATAGGGGTATCATGGACGAAACAGTATACTCTGTTATGTCCATGGTACTGCTTATGTCTATAGAGGACGGTTACCACTTTCCATCAGGTGGGTCGTCAGCTTGTTTGACATTCTAAGTTGTATAAAAAAATATTTACAATTGAAAACACCGATAGGTATTAATAAATTAATAAAAATATATAGCAATATATATAATACACAAATATAATAAGTACGTACATTAGCATTGTAAAAGGTAATGATTCATTCTGATGAATCATTACGCGATTTGAAAATCCGAATGCTTGGCTATTTCTAATTTCATGAGGAAGTGTGTTCTACAATCTAATAGCAGACACGAGAAAAGAGTCTAAATACGCTTATAAATATTTTCCACTCTCTTCTATACTATTCTATTCTATTAATGTAACATTTTGCTGCCTATTATCCCAGCAGTTGATATGTGTTAACAAAATGTTATGATAATGAGAGATTAGTGCCCAAATAGTCATTCGCGACATTACTCCCAGACATTATGAGTTAATCATCCAGTTATGTAAGCAATAAACATGCAATAAAGCGAACCATACAACCGTGGGTTGTCTGCGTGAACAATATACCACGTCAAACTGCATTATTGGCCGGCATATTGTCCCGTAAATTAATTCCAATGCGACTATATGAAATTCCTCTATGGCGCACCGCTAATATCTGGAGATTGTTTCACGTTGCAATATTAGGACTGCAAATTTGAAGTTATTACAACACTAGCTTGAGCCCGCAACTTCGTACGGATATTGTGTGAAATAGGAAAGTCGATGAAATAAAGTACTTCACCAGAGGGAGACAAAAGTCGATTGCTTGTGTACTTCCGTCCCATTCGTGTTTCAACCGTGAAGCAGTTGTGTTTGCATGGCTGTGTTTCGGTTTGAAGGGTGGAATACGACGTGAATTTACTGGGTACAGAGGAATAACACCTGAGTCCTCAGGAATAGCAACGCATGGGGGGTATAATACAAAGTCTCCCTCCGGTAAAAGTGTAAAGCAGGTTTTTCAATTTCTTTGTCATTTGGTATTTATTTTATAAATGATATTTAGAATATTATGCATTTTGTTTGGTTACTTTTTTTGTATTTATTGACTGTCTGATTTGCGCCATCTACCTTTCTGTACCTATCTACTATTTATGTCAGATTGTCTATAAGAAATTGCTTTTAGCGATAAGGCCTTTTTTTGTATATGCACATTCTGTATAAATACTCCTTGTATATATCTCTATTGTGTGAAAAAAAAAGTATATTATTATAATTATCACATTATTGTTAGTAATGTGAACTACGAGTCCCATTCCTAGCATTATACCCTGTCAGATCGGCGAAACAGTATACTCTGTTATGTTCGTGGTACTGCTCATGTCTATAGGCGCAGGGGTTACAACTTTCTATCAGGTGGACCGTCAGCTTGATTGCCATTTTAAGTTATTTAAAAAAAAAAATTCTATAGGACGTATCGAGATGAAATACACCGGATTTTATTTTCGACCTTTTATCGTAATATTTGCGTGGCGGAACAAACATACGGACAGACAGATAAAATTTTTAAATATCTCTGTATTATCTTCTGTTAGTTTTATTAAAATCCCTCATTTAATGTCCTCTTAAAAATGTCCTAAGGACAGAAATTGTAAAATTACAAATTTAGTTTATGTACCTAGTTATAATTATTTATTTGTCATTTTTAAATCTGTAGTATAATCATGTTTCATGATAAAATTACCTGAACAGTACGTTTTTGAAAAACACTGATGATCTTACCTGAAACAAACAAAAAATTAATTATTATAACAATGGTATCACGAATGTTATCTACATCCGAGGGAACCTATAAAGAAGGGGATATATAACACGCTTGAACATTCCTAACTCTTGCTTACCAAAACGTGGCGATGTTATAATTATTCGTTAATTTACAAAAAAACAATTTAACTATAACAAAATTTTTGATTGATTAATTAAAAAGTGCTATGATAGTGAACTAAAACGTTAATACATACGTTTCATATGAATCTACCATTCAAATGTTTCCACCTATTTTACCAGAAGGAGACTTTGTACAAAAGTCGTTTGCTTGGCTACCTCTGTCATTAGTTATTAATTACGTTACATTTAATTTCAAATAAATATGGGTGCGTTTTTACAAATATACATAATTCATATATATACATACTAGGCACTGGTAATATTTTTAATGTTTTAAAGTTTGGTTTACAGCTTGTTCTCTGAGATATTCTACATATGGAACGAATACATTTTTTTTGGGCAATAAAAGCTCTTGCTGCATCTACAGAGTTGCCCCATATTAAGATACCATATCTGAGAATAGAAGCCACATACCCATGGTATGCCAGTAAAACAGTTTTTTTATCAGTTATATTTACTAGGCGCCATAAAGCGTATGCAAATGTATTAATCTTACCACATAGTCTATGTATATGCGACTTCCATGTACAACAATGGTCTAGTGTTACATCTAAAAATCTAACTTCATTACTTTCAGCAATGATCTGTCCCTTATATTCTATAGAGAGGTCAATAATCTTATTATTTCGTTGGTTATGAAATTGTATATATTTTGTTTTGTTTAAATTATTAAGTATTATGGGCGAAACAGTATACTCTATTAATAATATATTAAGTATTATGGGCGAAACAGTAAACTCTGTTATGTCCATGGTACTGCTCATGTCTATAGGTGACGGTTACCACTTTCCATCAGGTGGGCCGTCAGCTTGTTTGCCATTCTAAGTTGTATTAAAAAAAAAACTGATTCTGCTACGATTGAAGTTAGCCTTTTTTGTTGAAAGAAATTTTAATTCATTGTTGTTATGTGCATGCTTGGGATACAAATAATTTATCGATCATTTTATATTTTTTAACAGTGAACGACCAATTATGATGTGCCCAATTTAATTTTGATTTATAAACTTTAGTACTACCTAGATTTAAAATACCTACCTATATACCTGCTAGGAATTTGGAAAATATGTAATAAGATTCTTAAACGTGTCTAATATAGAAGAAATACTAATAAAAAATGAATTAAACGGCCGCTCTCGACTCTAGGATGAGAGATTAATTTAGATAGGACGAGAAAATTGTTTCAAGAAATATTTAGGTTGTTTTAACTATTCATTTTATTTAGTTTATTATAAAAGATCCAAAATATAGAACATTACAGAAGTATTAGTGAGCTGTTGGTACTGTAAATACTATACATTGAATGAATGAATGAATGAAAGAATGAATGAATGGTTTATTTTCTCTTCACAAAAGGTAGTATAAAGTGACAACTTGAGGTACAATTTGATATGAAGACCAATTTTGTGAGAGACTGGTGCTTGCGGTAGGTTTAGAGGAACCTGTGTTACAAGTCACCAGTGCCCCATCTCCATGGACTACACAAATACAAGGCAACCAATTAGTGTTATAATACACAGATAACAATAATGAGATATAAAGTGCAAGAATAAACTTAATATTAAAACTTATTTCTAATATATAACTTAGGCAAAGTTAATTACAAAATACAGACTATGTGTGCGTGTGCATTTGCGTGTGCGTGTGCGTGTGTGTTCAACTAAATAAAGTAGAGATAGATAGATAAGTATGATATATATACAAACATTGGATTTATTTTGGTGCTTTTAGGTGCTTGATACATATATTTGACTCGATTATTTGTCAACTTCCAAAAACAAATAAGAATAATCAATGTTTCTGATTGATTATATAAGAAGTGCTCTGCTCATAAATTAAAATATTAATTTTATTTACCAATAAAATGTTGTACAAAAGACGGGCTTAATGCTATAAGCATTCTTTAGCATTCAACCTAAGCATGTGCAGAGAAACTGGATGACCGTTTAAAAAATAAAATTATTAATATTTTAGTATAAGATGGTAAACATTGAAAAATAAACATTGATTATCATAATAAGTATATATATATATATATATATATATATATATATATATATATATATATATATATATATATATATATATATATATATATATATATATATATATTATTCTTATCAATCTGGAAAGTTGAATTTTGATGGCAAAAATGTATGTAAAAAATTTCAAAGCGATATATGAAGTAGGTTGTTTTATGCAACTTAGAATGGCAAACAAGCTGACGGCCCACCTGATGGAAAGTGGTAACCGTCGCCTAAAGACATGAGCAGTATCGTGGACATAACAGAATATATTGTTTCGCCCATGATACCCCCCAAGCGTTGCCATTACTGAGAACTCAGGTGTTATTCCTCTGCACCCTGTAAATTCACGCCATATCCCACCTTTCATAACCGAAACACAGCCATGCAAACACAACTGCTTTGCGGTTGAAGCACGAATGG